CCGTGGCCGAATGGTTAAGTTCGCACGCTCCGCTGCAGGCGGCCCAGTGTTTCGTTGGTTCGAATCCTGGGCGCGGACATGACACTGCTCATCAAACCACGCTGAGGCAGCGTCCCACATACCACAACTAGAAGGACCCACAACGAAGAATATACAACTATGTACTGGGGGGGGCTTTGGGGAGAAAAAGGAAAAAATAAAATCTTTAAAAAAAAAAAATAACTAAAAGATATAGTCTGACATCATTTTTTGTGTTCTTCTATTAATAGGCTTTATTTTGCAGAGCAGTTTTAGATTTAGACAAAAATTGGGTAGATAGTGCAGAGAGTTCCCACACACCCCTCACTCCTACACAGTTTCTCCTATTATTAATATTATGCACTAGTGTGGTATATTTGCTACAATTAATGAATCAATATTGATACTAACTAAATAGTTAATATTGATATTAACTAAAGTCCAAGACTACATTAAGGTTCACTCCGTGCTGTACAGACAAATGCATAATGTCATGTATCCACAATTACTGCACCATACAGGATAGTTTCTCCACCCTGAAAACCCCCTGGGCTCCACCTATGCATCCCTGTCTCCTTCCCTCTCTTCTTCCCTTCAAATCCCTGGCAACTACTGATCTTTTTACCTTCTCTATAGTTTTGCCTTTTCCAGAACGTCATATGGTTGGAATCATACAGTATGTAGCCTTTTCAGACTGGCTTCTTTTACTTAGCAATACGTGTTTACAGATCCTCCATGTCTTTTAATGGCTTGATAACTCATTTCTTTTTATTGCTGAATAACATTCCATTGCATAAATTACCACAGTTTGTTCACCCATTTTTTTTATTGAAGGATATCTTGGTTGCTCTCAGCTCTTGAGAATTATGAATTAAGCTTCCATAAACATTGATATGCAAATTTATGCATTGACATAAGTTTTCAACTCATTTGGGTACACACCTAGGAGCGCTGTTGCAGGATCATATGGTAAGACTATGTTTAGCCTTGTAAGAAACTGCCAAGCTATCTTCCAAAGTAGCTGTCACATTTTGCATTTTCACTAGCAATGAATGAGAGATCCTGTTGTTCACATCCTTGCTAGTATTATGTACCATCAGCTTTATAGATTTTAGTCTTCCCAGTAGGTGTGCAATTTTATCTCATGGTTGTTCTCATGTGCAATTTCCTAATGACAGATGATGTTGACCATCTTTTCATATTCTTCCCTGCTATCATTATATCTTCTTTGGTGAAGTTCAGATTTTTGGCAAACTATTTTTAAATTGGATCCTTTGTTTTCTTATTGTTGAGTTTTAACAGTTCTTTGCATACTTGGATACAAGTTCTTTCTCTGATAAGTGTTTTACAAATACTTTCCCCAAGTCTGCGGTTTGTCTTTGCATTCCCTTAACAGTGTCTTTTGCAAAGCAGTAGTTGTTTGTTTTAATAAAGTCCAATTTATCAATTTTTCTTTCATGGATCTTGCTTTTCGCATTGTACATAAAAGTTCATCACCAAACCCAAGATCACCCAGATTTTCTCCTATTTCCAGAAGTTATTTTCTAGAAGTTTTATACAGACGTTCCCCAACTTAACGATGGTTCAATTTACAATTTTTTTGACTTTATGATGGTGCAAAAGTGATATGCATTCAGTAGAAAGCATACTTCAAATTTTGAATTTTGATCTTTTCCTGGGCTAGTGATGTGCAGTACAAGACGTGTGCACGATGCTGGGCAGCGTGAGCTGGAGCTCCCAGTCAGTCACGTGATCACAGGGGTAAACAACTGATACACTTACAACAATGCTATACCCATACAACCATTCTGTTTTTCACTTTTAGCACAGTATTCAGTAAATTATATGAGATATCCAACACTTTATTATTAAATATGCTTTGTGTTAGTCGACTTTGCCCAACTGTAGGCTAATGTAAGTGTTCTGAGCACATTAAAGGTAGGGTAGGTCAAGCTATGATTTTCGGTAGGTTAGGTGTATTAAATGCACTTTTGACTTACAATATTTTCAACTTACAATGAGTTTATTGAGATGTAACCCTAAGTCAAGGAAAATTTGTAATTTTATGTTTTACATTGAAGTCTATGACTCATTTCGAGTTAATTTTTGTGAAAGGTATGCGGACTGTGTCTGGATTCTTTATTTATTTATTTTTTTGCATGTAGACATTGGTTGTTTCAGCACCATCAACTGAAAAGATTATCCCTTCTCCATTGATTTACCTTTGCTCCCTTGTCAAAGATCAGTTAATTATATTTGTGTAGGTGTATTTCTGGGCTCTCTACTCTGTTCCATTGATCTATTTGTCTATTCTTTGTTCAATACTACACTGTCTTAATTACTGTAGCTCTACAGGAATTGCTGAAATTGGGCCTTGTCATTTCTTCAACTTTGTTTTTCTCCTTCAATGTTGTGTTTGCCATTCCGGGTATTTTGCCTCTTCATATAAACTTTAGGATCGGTTTTCCAATATCCAAAAACAACTCACTGAGATTTTGATTGGGATTTCATTGACTCTATTGATAAAGTTGGGAATAACTGATATCTTACAATATTGAGTCTTCCCATCCATGAACATGGAATATCTCTGCATTTATTTAGATCTTCTTTGATTTCTTTTATCAGGGTTTTTAAGTTTTCCTCATATAGACCTTGTACATATTTTGTTATATTTATACCTAAGTATTTCATATTTATACCTAAGTTGCTCATGTAAGTGGCATTGTGTTTTTAATTTCAAATTCAAATTGTTCATGGCTGGTATAGAGAACAGCAATTGCTCTTTATACACTAACAACTTTTTACCCTGTAACTTTGCTATAATCACTTATTAGTTCCAGGAGGGATTTTTTTTCAGTTCTTTGGGATTTTCTCATGGGACAATCATGTCATCTGCCAACAAAAAGTGTTATTTCTTCCTTCACAATTTGTATACCCTTTATTTACTTTCCTTGCTTTATTGTGTTAGCTAGGAAGATCAGTACAATATTGAATAGGAGTGGTGAAAGGGGACATAGTTGTCTTAGTTCTTGGTCTTAGGAGAAAAGTATCTAGTTTATCACCATGAAGTATGATGCTAGCTGTAGCATTTTTGCAGATTTTTTAATCAAATTGAGGAAATTCCCTCTATTTCTATTTTTCTGGGTTTCTGTCATGAATGATTATTGGATTTTGTCAAATTCTTTTTTTGGCATCTATTAATAGTGTCATATTACTTTTCTTCTTTAGCCTGTTTATGTGATGAATTACGTTACTTGATTTTCAAATGTTAAACCAACTTTGCATACACCTGGGATAAATCTTGCTTCATCATTATGTATAATTTCTTTTTGTACATTGTTGGATTCTATTTGCTAATATTTTGTTGAGGATTTTTACATCTATGTTCATGAAAGATACTATTTTGTAGTTTTTCTTTCTTGTAATGTCTTCATACAGTTTTGGTATTTACAGGACTATGCTATCTTCATGAAATTAGTTAGGAAGTGTTCTCTCTGCTTCTATTTTCTAGAAGAAATTGTGGAAGATTGGCATCATTTGTTCCTTAAATGTTGGTAGAATTCACCAATGAAACCATCTGGACCTGGTGCTTTCTTTTTTAAAATTTTATTAACTATTATTCAATTTATTTAATAGGTATAGCCTATCCGGATTATCTAATTCTCTTTGAGTTTTGGTAAATTGTGTCTTTTAAGGAATTGGTCTATTTCATCTAGGTTCTCAAATTTGTGGGCATAGAGTTGTTCATAATATTGCTTTATTATCCTTTTAATAGCCATAGGATTATTAATGATGGCTCCTTTTTCATTTGTGACAGTGGTAACTAGTATTTTCTCTCCTTTTTTCTTGGTTAACTAGGCTAGAGGTTTATCAATTTTATTAATCTTTTCATAAAACCAGCTTTTGGTTTATGGTTTTCTTTATTGATTTTCCATTTTGTTGATTTCTGCTCTGGTTTTTATTATTTCTCTTCTTCTACTTACTTCAGGTTTAATTTGTTTTTTTTCTAGTTTTATATATATATATATACATATATATATGTATATATATATAAACATGGAATACTACTCAGCCATAGAAAAAATGAAATCTTGCCATTTGCACAACATGGATGAACTTTGAGGGTATTATGCTAAATGAAATAAGTCAGTGAAGAAAGACAAATAGCATATGATTTTACTCATATGTAGAAGATAAACAAACATAAGATAAGATAAGGAGAACAGACTGATGGTTTCCAGAGGGGAAGGGGGTCGGGGGTGGGCAAAAGGGGTGAAAGGGCACATCTGTACGGTGATGGATGGCAACTAGACTTTTGGTGGTAAACACAACGTAGTCTATACAGAAGCTGAAATATAACGATGTACACCTGAAATTTATACAATGTTATAAATCAAGTTACCTCAATAAAAAATTTCAAATAGAAGAAAAATAAATAAAACTATAGGGAGTTAATATTTTTACTTCATTAGATACGTTTCAAAAAATTAAAATTTGACTGAACGAAGTTTTGGAGAGGATATGGAGAATTGGGGACTCTCATTCTCTGCTGGTGCATATGTAAACTGATACAGTCACTTGGGAAAACAATTTGTATTTCCTCCTAAAGTTGGAGATGCACATGTCCTACATCCAACAATTCTCTAGAGAAACTCTTACATATGTGATCAGGATAAGAGTACAAGTTTATTCATAGCATAATCATAATTTATTCATAGTTTATTCATATTTATTCAAGGCAAAATAAAAAGGAAGGGGCTAAATCAAATATTAATAATATAACAGATAAATAAACTGTTGTGTAGTAATACAATGAAATACTATCCAGCAGGAAAAACAAATGAAATACAAATATATAATATTGAGTCAAAAAGGCAAGTCACAGAAGAACGTATGTAGTGTAAATCCAATATTTCTACTTCAAAAGAGGGAAAATTAAACCACGGATTTGTAGCATAAGAAATAACTAAAGAGAAAGTCTAGGGAAAGCAAACCGTAGAATTCAGGCTGGCAGGGAGGAAGGGAGGAGAATGCTATGAGGAAGGGAACAGGTAGGCTTCAGGGTTATTTGGTTTTGGTAAAAAAAAAAATATTTGGTAAAAAAAAATTAAACTATTTCTTAAGCTAGGTGGTAGACAGACACTCTTTGGTGTGTATGGTATATTTCACAATGGAAAAAAATACATTAAATTTCTAGTGATTGCCCTTCTCCTTCCCTTCAGAATAAAATTCAGGTACAGAAAGCTGCCGGGAGCCGGTCTCTAGGTATAGTTACCACTGCCGCGTGACAAGGTCCGCCAGTGGGCTGAGAAATTGCAAGGCAATTCTCAAGGGTTAATAGGGAAAGTGCAAAGCATCTGTGTATGTATCATGCTTTTACTTTTGCTATTTTTATCCTGGAACTGCTGGGGAATTAGGGGAAGTTCTGCTGGTCAGCTTCCTCCTTCCTCCCCTCATAAAGTAGGTCAGAGGAACATTGATGGCCATCCCATAAGAGGAACTTGGCCAAATCAGGAAATTTTTACAGGAGGTAAATGGTGGCACCCACCCAGGAACAGAGGCATGCAAGAACTACCCCTTCCTAAGGCAACTCACGATCCTGATAAAGTTGCAAAGAAATATCATAATATATTGACACAGAGGAATTGGGATTATGATGAGGATTGAGAACCCTATAAAATAGTTAATGGTAAAAGAGAAACCCCAAGCACTGTGCCTGTGTGGCTTTCAATCCCCTTATACTTTGCAATACTTCTGCTTTCATTATTACAGGAATAAAGATAGAGGCTTAGGGCCATTCGACCCATGAGAAACTAAGTCTAGACATTACACCCCATTTTGTAATCAGTCTTAAACATCTAGGCGCCTGGTAGACATATAGAAAAGGTCAATATCTATAATTAACAAAGGTTGCTTGCTTCTCACAGACATACTGTGCTAATATTGTAACAAGATACGCTTATATACCCATTTTGTTTGCCAAAATTATGTACTGAAATAATTCCATGAAATCATAAACACATGACCTGGACCCTATATAAGTGCTTGAATACTTCGAATAAATCAGACTTGGAAACCTCACTCCTTGTCTCACTGCATCTCTCTCTCGCCGACTCCGTCCATCCCTTCGGGAGACCCTGGACTCTGCTGGGGCTGGACCCTGGCAGAAAGCCAACATGATCTGCCCCTCTCCCACCCCTTTACCTTTCTCTCACCCTGGACTCTCCCAAGTTCTCCACACTCTAATCATGCAAACCTTCTTTCTGTTCCTTTAACACTCTACGTTCATTCTCAACCTTGCATTTTTCTCTTCCTTCTGCTTATAACTGTTTCCTCGTGATCTGTGTAGGACTAACTCCTTTTCACCATTCAGGTCTCAACTCAAACATCACCTCACCAGAAAGACTTTCCCTGAACATCTCATAGCAGGTAAGTGGCAGAATCAGAAATATATCTACTCTTCATGATAAAGTTTCTGACAACAAAATTTACTGGGATATATCTTCTTTGGCAATCGATGTCCTACTGTAATATAAAATAAAGATAGGAAAAATGGAGGCTACATTGCTTTGGTGGACGAAACAATGTCATCTGTAACTAAATAGCTGGCAGTGGAATGGAGAATGAAGACGTTAGAAATAATCAGTATTGCTATTTTAAAAGTTGACTACATCTTAACTTATAGATACTTTGCTTGAGTTCATATGTTTCTGAATGATCACAGCTTGCTAATATAAACACTTTATCTATAGTGCTTAATTCAGGGATTTGCTATTCTTTTTCTGAACTTTTGCCCCAATCAAAGGCAACTGCACTATCATTAATACTCCTCCACTTTACCCATTTCAATTCTAGGGGTTTTAAAAATTGACTCAAGTCATTTATACTTAACAATTGAATACGCTAAGAAGGAAAAAGAAAAAGAGCTTGATTAATTTTGAGTTCAGATTAATCCATCAGACATAAATAGCTTGCATATTTCCTTTAGGAAATGAAAAAGAATGCCACTCGCTACTTCAAAGGAACACAAGCAATTATCTGTATTTCTATATTCTATCTTTAAACTACTTATTAGCTCATTTGTCACTTAGACCAATTAGTTTTGGTTGCTGAAGATATTATTCAATATGTAGGAAAGTAGTTGCTTTGTTGTAACCTTATTATTCCTTTTTATTCCTAATTTTACTGCAACTCAGCTTTGCACATTTTAATATGTTCATTTTATTTTAAACATTAATTCCCTGTCTCCTTGTTAGCATGGTATATCTCAGAAGAATTTGGCTTAATTTAAGACATTTCAAATTTCTAGAAATAAATGACACCCTTACCAGATGTCATTTTTACAAAAACTAAACCTAATTGCTTATAACTGACTGAAGTCCATAAATAATACCTACTATATTTCTGGTAAGTGGCTTAAATGTCATTTCAACATAACATAAGAGGTGACTGATGCAATTTTTCTTATAATCTTTGACATCTTTATTTCACTAAGATAATTTTAAGTATGTTTATAGTTGGTTCTATACTACCTATTAGCTAAAATATTTAACTGCAATAACGTACCAAAAAGAATTATAATAATGTACCAAAGTAAAGTTCTGATTCAGGTTCTGTACAATGAAAAGTGAAAACATATATAGCCATCATATATAATCCAGTATCTAAATCTCTGTGAAAGAAAAAAATAGACTACAGTCTAAATATGTAACATCCATTATAAAAAGAGTTAAAAGAATCTCAACATTCTTATTAGGATGTAAGCATTTCACAAACTCTCGAGAATTTATTTGGGTAGAATAACCCATTGAACTTTCATGTACTATACCTTTTTTCTGTTTATCCTTGATAAAGGATGTTTATTCTATTGTTTACAAAATTAAACTATAAAGGGGTCAGCCAGGTGGCATAATGGTTAAGTTTGCACGTTCTGCTTCGGCAGCCTAGGGTTAGCAGGTTCGGACCCCGGGTGCAGATAAGGCACCTCTTATCAGGCCATGCTGTGGCAGGCATCCCACGCATAAAGTAGAGGAAGACGGGCACGGATGTTAGCTCAGGGCCAGTCTTCCTTGGCAAAAAGAGGAGGATTAGTGGCAGATGTTAACTCAGAGCTAATCTTCCTGCAAAAAAAATTAAACTATAAAATCTGGAAGTTAAGTTAATCTAAATCTTTGTAAAATCATGTCAGCTTAAGTATAAATTTCAGTTAAAAATGAGAAGCAGTGAGAAGCGTTCAGATCAAAATTATAACTTGCATTGTAGTAGAGGCCATTAAATGGTTCTGCGTTACGGAATTACTGATTAATATAATCAATTAACTCCCTCAAATTGTGAAAGCCCATGTAATTTCCATGTACTTAAATTTTCTCTGACAGAAAAATAATTTAGAAAATTCCAGAAAACCAGCTCTGCAATTGTTACTTAAACTTCTTTATGTTGTTTTTAATAGTACTTGGGAATTGCTATTCATTGACACCACATGTGAAGAAACTTGCCAGGATTGACTGCAAAATCTATCAGTTGAAGCAGATGCTGAAAGACAGCAAAACTACAGCTAGAATTTCTCATCTGAATTTCTCTCTTAATCCCTGCTGGGAATGAGAGGAGGAGAGCACAGAGGTGAGAGGTGTGAAGACGCCACACTCATTGCATTGATGCGTCCAATACTGTGACGTAAATTAATAATCTACCCAGGCTGACAAGAGTTGGGACCTGGGTTCCCAGCCCCTCAAAAGTAAGTCAATTTTTTTCCTTCCTTTAATCCATTTCTTCTGACAGTACTTCCATCCTATTACTGGATTGTGGCTGAAGGCTCCACATAAGCTTCATTTGGACTTGAATTTTTTTATTGTCTTCTCTTTGAAGTCTCTCCCCATTAATTTAGCAGGTCCTAAAACTGGCCAATAACACAAAATATAGAATTTTGATTTATCCATTTCTATTTTTTGATCTCAACCAACTTCACCACTAGTTAAAATAATTCTAGTTTAGAAAATGAAACTTTCAATTCTCTGCTCTTCAAAGCAGAAAGAAAAACAACACAAATTTTATGTTTCTATGACTAAAGCACTTAATAATCATTATTTTTTAAAAGCCAAAGGTTGTTATAACTTAAGAAGAAGGCAAAAGGAACATAAAATTTTGTGGCATATAGTCTAACAATAAGAATTTCCTCCAAAAATTTCCATAAAATTTTGGAGTCCATTTTTTTATATATTTCCAAGACAACATACTATTTTATTCTACTAATTTTACTCTTCAAATATAATCACTAACAATTTTATTTAAAAGTTTAAATTTTACTTACTTCAATAAACACTAGTGCCTATCAAGTGATTTATTATTATCGACAAATGAGATTTACAGCGTTTCATGCACTTTTAAACACAGAAGCTATTTCACAATCCTTAAGAAACATGAGCTAACCTGTAGCTATCTGCTTTTCCAAATGTAGTTCAGAAGATCAGAAACACACCAACCACTAGCCAGGCGAGTTATTCTCAGAAAACAGTCCTATGAATTGCCCAGGAACAATAACCCAAAGAGAGGAGAAACAAGATTGTTGGTGAACTACTGTTTTTGTTTTTACATTAATTAAAGTAAGGATCAAAACATCCAGTGGTAGACAGAATTCTACGACTGCCCCCAAGACTGCTGCCCCTGGTGTGCACACCCTGTATTGTCTCTTTCCCCTGAGTCTGGGTAGAACTTGTGACTAGGGTGGGATAGCTCCTTTAATTAGGCTCCATAGACTTCATGTTAGAAGACAAGTGAGAATTCTCTTGTTGGCCTTGAAGAAACAAATTGCCATGAGTCCTACCACTGCAACGAACTGAAATCTGTCAGATAACATTAATGAGCTTGGAAGATGACCCAGAGTTCCAGATGAGAACCCAGTCCCAGCCGACACCTTGAGTTCAGCCTGAGACCCAGAGAACAGGACCCACTGAAACCGTGATTAATTTCTGACCCACGGAAATTAGGAGATAGTAAATTTGTGTTGTTTTAAGTCACTAAGCATGTAGTAATTTGTTACACAGCAATAGAAAAAGAATATAAACCATACTATATTTTGTGGGTGACAAGTCAGATAAAGTTGTTTACACAAAAGGTGAAAAGTAAACTGCCAAAAACATACAAAGTGCACTGGGCATCCAGCCAACGGAAACAGAACCCAGAATCCTCACTATTCTTCGCTGCACCTATAAAGTACTTCTGAAACGTATATATTTATGTATAAAGATTTTTATCTGGCACATTCAACTTGAAGACACAAAAGTGATACAATGACTATCACCATCCTTAGAATGTGTAACTATTACCCTAAATTTGATTTGTTTTCTACCCTTACCAATATTTTGTTTATAAATATCAAAAAATTAAGATTGCATTAATTAATTATGCATAATTAATAATACATTATAAACTGCTATTTGAATAGTGCTTAAGATATCTAATACCTTCATTTTTGGATCAAATTCTTTTGATCCAGAGACAAAAGGTAGATTTTAGGATCTACTTCAGAGGAAATGGTTGGAAAGAAAATTAACACCCCATCACGTACATACAATTTACACTAAATGAAATGTTATTTCACCTTAAATTTCTGAGTGAAAAGACAGAAGGAACATTAATGTATTCGTGGAGTTACAATTCATAGGCTAACTTCAGCCTATATAATTTATAAGCTATGAATTGTAAAGTACTTATATTCCAATTTTATCTGCTACAATTTCCTTCAAAACATTTACCTTTTTCCTATTTTCAGTATTTCTTCTGTCTATTCAATATTTAATAAAAAGATTATATTTTAAATGAAAGATAGTGGGGCAATGCTATAATTTCTTTAAAGCTGCTATTATACAATAATATCTATTTGTTCTGTAAAAAGAACAAGTTGACTATTTTAAAACTAAAGTTTCCACTCACGTGTTCATCTTCAGCCTTAATGATATCTCACTGATTAAGAAGAATTACCCAATTGTAGAAACAGTAAAATTCTCCTTATCCAGTAAGCAATCCAAGATTGGCAGATTATTTTATTTTAAATATTGCAAACATATAAAAAATGTAAATAATGTAATGGAAAAGTTATCATAGCTTGATCTATAATTTGATGTTAGATATTATATCACCTTAAAAAATTTTTAAACAATGAGTATTACTTAACTGAAATGATCTGTATGCTTCTCCACATAAACTTTTGCATTCATCTATCTCAGAGGTAACCACTCTCCAGAATTTGATATCATGAGAATATTCACTTACATTTTCTTCAAAATTTTTGAAGAAAAAGTATTCGCATTGAGAGCCTTAATCCACTTGGAAAATTCCTTTGTTATACTTTGAGGTAATTGTTTCATTTGTGTTTTTTTTAAACATGATAATCAATTATCCAGGCACCAAATAATGATGAGATGATCCTTCTATTATTTGTAGTTCCACTCATGCAAATACATCCATATCTCTGTCGATATCTATTTATACGTATTTATGTATAACACTGATTCTGGTCTCTCTTTATTGGATTTTGATGACTATTCTTGCCATAACAACGTACAATCTTAATTACTATAGTCTTAAATGTCTTGAAAATTAGTAGGGAAAGAATTCCTGACTTCAGTCATCTCCAGAATTATGTGTCTATTCTTGACCCTTTTCTTTTCCCTGTTAATTATGAACAGTTTGTCACCTTTCATGGAGAAACTTTTTATTGTAATTGTATTTGATTATAAATTGGAAAGGAATAAGTTATTTAAAATATTGCATGAACATTGCTTATTCTTCTTTTTCACTCCTCAATACGATTTTATAAATTTCTCCATATAGGTCTCTCACATTGTTAGATTTACTCCTAGATATCTTATAAATTTTATGTTATTTTAAATAGGAAATCTCTTTTTGCAAATTATATATTTTGGTTAGCTACTGGTGTATAGGGATGTTACTGATTTCCTTTACATTGTTCTGTCTTCAGGAAATTGCTAAACTCATAGTTTTAACATATCTTCAGGATTTTCTATATAATTACAGCAACTGAAAAAAAGAAGTGGACACATTCCTGTTCCAGTATTATACCTCATTTACTTCCTTATTGTGATGGTTAGGACCTGTATTCCAAAGATGAAGACAAGAAAAGATAGGGAGCATTGTGTCTTGTTCTTTACTGAGAACGCTTGTACAGTTTCACCATCGGTATGCTTGATATAAAAAATTTTTAGACATCCTTTTCCAGTTTAATAAAGTTCTTTTCCACACTTAATTTGCTAATGGTTTTTCTGCTGATGACAGCAAACCCATCAGTTCACTTTTCTGCATCTACAGCAGTGAGGCCTCACCCTCTTCAATCTATCAATGCTGAAAAGTTCTTGCATTTCTGGTGTGTATCATGGGGTGAAGATATATTATTGATTTTTACCTGGTGCTCAATTTGATTTGTGAGTATATAACTTATAATCTATTTCAGTTCATAAATGAGATTGGTCTATAATTTTATTTTCTTGCACTACAGTGATTTGGCTTTGTATCAAAGTAACAGTAACCTCATAAAATGACTTGAATAGCTTTTGCTCTGTTTCTGCTCTCTGAAAAGAATACATATATTTACATATGTATATATCTTCATAATAAGCATAGAAGTGTCTTTCTCAAACTTGCAGTTAGAAGATGAATAAGTTCTGGGGATCTAATGCACAGCATTGTGATTATCGTTAGCAATACTATATTATATACTTGAAAACTCCTGAGCAGATCTTAAATGTTTTCACCACAAGAAAGAAATGATAAATATGCGATGTGATGGACGTGTTAGCTAACAATAGGGTTGTAATCATATTGCACTATATAAGTGTATCAAATCAACTCATCGTATACTTTAAACTTACACAATGTTATATATCAATTATATCTCAATTTAAATATGTATACATAAGAAAGTCTTTTTCTGGGAAGTTTGATAAAATTTATCTGGAAGACCATCAAAGTATGGAGTCTTCTGTTGATTTTGATCCTGATTCAATTTATTGAATTTTTATTAACTTACTTGGATTTCCATTTTTTGTTCAAATTCCTTCATTTATATTTACTACAAAATTGTCTATTTCATTCAAGTTCTGAAATGTATTGGGATAAAATTGTTCATAGACAAGTTTTTTTTTTTATCTTAATACATTTCAGGTCATGCTGCCTGTTTGTGGTGCAACTATTATTTATTTGTGCTTTTTCTCTTCCTTCCTTGATCATTCTTGCTAAGGATTTATACACAATTATGCTTTCCTATAACTGCATTTTGGTTTTTTTAACTTATTTCTAACATTTGTATTTAAATTTTCTACTCTTATCTTTATTTTGGTTTACTCCTCCTTTTTTGTCATTTACTCTGTTGTTCTTTTCTAGATTCTTGACTTAATGCCTACCTTTTTTCTGCTTTTTAACAAATGCAATTGAGGCTCTAAATTTATGTTTTAAACACCATTTTAACACTATCCCACAAATACTGACATGTAGTACTTTCATTTTTATTGTCATAAATATTTTTAGTTTCCCTTATGGTGATGATAATTTTGAGAATATTACCTTGGTGATATTTAGTTATGTCCACATAGAATAGGGTGAAACCT